TAAGTTCATAAAAACTGGGCTGTAACGACGTTTGTGATTGAAAACTTGCACAGATAGCATGAAGCCAGAGATGGATGTTATGCTTCTTCTCTCTCTTCATCTATATAAAAGTTCTGAGATTATCATGAAATATAGACCTCCAGCCTAAAACTTTAAAGTAGCACTTTTCCCTTCTTTTAATTCAGGAGTAATACAATAAACAGAAGTGGCGGCTATTGATAACTCTCACTTTACGGTTGGAAGTGAATGCTTCTGTTTTTATTTAAATGTAATATTCAAAAGATTTTGGCTTATAGCTACTGCTGGCAGCTATATTTCAACCACACTATGATTTGTACAAAAAACAAATGTATCGTACTTTTATTTTGAACTATAGCTGAACATATGCAGACCTATATTAAATATTCACTTGAGGTCGAGTTTTCTGGGTTCACATACGTACAATGTCTTCAAAATAAAGTAATCCAGTTGTGTGTTATTTTTATTTCATTATCCTTTGTATTAAGTTACTTCGATATCACGTATCAAAGTTGTTGCTAGGATCTCAGTTCATGAGGTTAACCATTATGATTTTGAATTAAGGCCTTATTTGACGACGAAGTTGTTACTATGATCTCGGTACACGAGATTAACCATTATGATTTTGAATTAAGGCCTTATTTGACGACAAAGTTGTTACTAGGATCTCAGTACACGAGGTTAACCATTATGATTTTGAATTAAGGCCTTATTTGACGACAAAGTTGTTGCTAGGATCTCAGTACACGAGGTTAACCATTATGATTTTGAATTAAGGCCTTATTTGACGAGAGAATGCACATTTCAATAGATATAATAACGTTATATTATAAATTATGGATTTTAAGTAAAATTCATATCAGAATAGATTCGTTATATATCTCTACTGTGAGATTACTCAACTAGACTTGTCTTCCAAATGCATATCCTCATTTACTGTCATCGAAAGGTCAAACTCTTAACACTTTTACTCAATATTTTATTAAACAAAAAAATGGCATAAAAACAAGGTAATAATTTGAAGATAAAAAAATTTATTTTATTTTAATCTAAGTGCTTGAAAAAAAATAAAGACGTTACATAGACTATAAATGTAAAGGTGACTACGCAGTTATTTCATTTAGAACAGATTAATTTCTAACTTACTCTGAAACAAACAGTAATTGAATGTATTTTAGTAATATTTTCTTTGTTATTAGTCTACGTGTGGGTCGGTGGTTAGTTTGCGGACTCTCATCGCTAAATTTCGTGGTTCGATTCCCCGTGGTAGGCAGAGGGCATATAGCCCATTGTGTAGCTTCGTGCTAAAACAATAACATCTTTAATACCAACTGTAAAGTAACTAAAACAATAACAACGTCTTTAGTACAAACTATAAAGTAACTAAAACAATAACAACGTCTTTAGTACAAACTATAAAGTAACTAAAACAATAACAACGTCTTTAGTACAAACTATAAAGTAACTAAAATAATAACAACGTCTTTAGTACCAACTATAAAGTAAATAAAATAATAACAACGTCTTTAGTACCAACTATAAAGTAACTAAAACAATAACAACGTCTTTAGTACCAACTATAAAAGTAACTAAAACAATAACAACGTCTTTAGTATCAACTACAAAGTAACTAAAACAATAGTTGATACTAAAGACGTTGTTATTGTTTTAGTTACTTTGTAGTTGGTACTAAAGACGTTGTTATTGTTTTAGTTACTTTGTAGTTGGTACTAAAGACGTTGTTATTGTTTTAGTTACTTTGTAGTTGGGTACTAAAGACGTTGTTATAAAGTAACTAAAATAGTAACAACGTCTTTAGTATCAACTATAAAGTAACTTTCGCCCCATCCTATAAAGGAATACTTACTTCTACTGTGATGAAAATATTAAAAAATAACCTTAGGAAGTTGCTCGAGGTGTTTACCTTGTGCTAGATACACTCTAATATTTTGTCGGCTAATGATTGATCCTGTAAAAAAAAAAAAAGTTATTAAGCACAAAGCTGAACAATGAGCTGTTCTTTCCTCGGGGATAGGACGTCGGTGTTTAGCCTTACAAGTCCTCAAGCTTACCGCTGAGCCACAAAAGGAGATAAGAATTGGTAGTTTTATTTCCAGAAAGGTTAACATTTAGTTTGTTCAGAAGTTAATGTCAACTGAAACTGTGTAATAAGTTTGTAACATAAAGTTATTTCGATCAGTTGACCTTTTGGAATGATATTTTCTCTCTCTCTACGAAGTAGTATTCCATCATTCCGAAGGAAGACGAAAGGTCAAATCACAGTGATAGTAAAATCCTGGTTTAGCACGTCACAATATCCTCTAAAGCATAATGTCAAAAGCAAAAACTTGACGAATGAAAAAGTTCACATCTTCCGGGAAAAACTTTCATGGAAATAAGAGCCTCTACAACGACGGCGATACACTGTCTACAACTGAATAGCCTTTGTAGTCACGAGATATAAATCAACCCAGATTAACGAAAGGAAAAGAGCTAAGCTTGTCGGCTTTTGACCCACTGATTCTCAGTCACGAAAACACTCATATTTTTTACAATGTAGTTTCTATTCAGTTACTTGAGTTATTTTTAAAGAAATTGATTGTTAATAACTTTTCATTTTATTCCGTTACGTTTGGTTGATTTCTGTCTTTACTAATTAGGTAGATTTTGTAAGACTATATATATATATATATATATATATATATAT